TACGTAGAACTATTCAATTATTGACTACGACTTGAAAATTTTGTTTGATAGAGAAAACAATATATCAAATTTAAGTTTATTTATTTAAGTGAATCTTAATAGTTTCAATCATTTTAGGGCGTTTTAAAATTATAAATTGAACACGGGAAACAATTTTTTTTTCTATTTGTAAATATTTAATACATATTATGTAGAATATAATAGCGAGAAATAGTTATCAAGGCAACCAACAGGAAGAATCTCTTTGACCATTTTAGCCAATCAAATAAAGATGAAGGAATTCTCCATATGTCCGTGTCCACGTCTCTTATTCATCTTTTTTTTGGTGTAACTGCCTTGTCCAACTCTCATAATATTCGGAAAAAGAAATATCATCATAATAAAATTTTCTTCATCCGAATATAGCCTTTCTGAAAAGTACTTGCTAATAAAACGAATTTTTCAAACAAAAATATGGAAGACACACGCGCCAGTGGCAGAGCCAATGTTAAAGACACACGTCAATGCCGAAACTAGAAATTTATGTAAGGCGATTCAAAAAAATACTTAAACGTAATACTTGAGATTTAAATTTGACTTATAACAGATTTTAAACATCCTTTACCACTACAATACAATCATCCTTTATGTCAAAGAAATTCAACTGTTTATATATAGTAATAAAATACCATCGCTACTCTATTTACGAAGCATAATTTTTTGACGAAAGAGATTCAATTGAACATCTATGGCTCTACATAGCTTCACTTCTGACAATGACATAGCCAGATCCTTTAATTGTTAAGTATTAAAAATATTAAATTCAGTTAAACCACAACTACAAAGGTCGGTGTCTATTTATTACAAGGGGTCTGAATCATTTAATTTGTAGATTCCAATTATAAAAAAAGGAAGAAAGAGACATAAAATGCCAAAAGTGGAATGACTTTATGATGGAAGAACCTCCTCTACTAGTGCATTATCCTTATGGATTTAAGTCATATATATTGAAAGTATAAAAAGATTTTAGCATTGTTATAACGAATTTCTTATTGTTATAGGTTAATTTAACATGATAATAATATTTATATACTTCGGTGCACAAAAATTAAACTCAATTGTAATGGAGAGGTCAATGATAAGGTGTGCATGCCAGCAAGATACTCTCCCTCCATATATGGTTGTTATTTTTCTTTCTTTATGTGTGTTTGTGTGTGTACATAAATATCTATAATTTTCTTTCTTAGTACTATGAGAAATTAAATTAATGTATAAAATTAGACAACTCACAGTATGGAGATTTTTGTGAGTAAATATTAAACTAATGCACAATCTCGAAAATGTTGGAGTAATAGTAATACTATTTAAGATTGAGTTTGAGAGAACTCATTCTCAAATCTGGGACCAGATCGAAAAGGAAGTAAACTTGTAGATAGAACACATTGTTGGAATTTTTCACTATAAAAAAGTTTCATTCTTTCAGTCTGATATCTTTTTTGGTAAGCATTAATTCCCAAGAATTATTAGTAGCTCTACTTTATTCACTTTTTACGTAGTAGTTATTATTTTATCTCTAACTTCCACCATTGAAGCTAACTAACATTTCAGCTAGCTAGCTATTCCTCAAGGTCTTTTCTCAATCTATTTAAATATCTTAATTAGTGCAAAATTTACTATGTTTAAATAAATTGTGTCATTTTTTTTAACTAGAAAAATCTAAACTGATGCAGATTGTTCCATCAGAAGACATGAATAACAATAGAGAACTAGAGCAAGTTCGCGATTTGGCTGTAGAAGAACATGAGGGGGAGGAGGAGGAGGAACAATTATCCGAGAGTACGATGAGAATTCAACCTTGGACTAAACAGATCACGTTACGAGGAATCATTGCTAGTACGATAATTGGATGCATTTACAGTGTTATACAAATGAAAATGAACCTCACAACTGGAATTAATCCTAATCTGAATGTCTCAGCTGCTCTTCTTGCCTATATTTTTATTCAGACATGGACCAAGATTCTTAAAATGCTTGGTTTTGTCTCTGTTCCTTTTACTAGACAGGAAAATACCATGATACAAACATGTTCTGTTGCATGTTACAGCATTGCTCTTGGAGGTAATGTACTCAATGTATTGTTTTAATTATGTATTTCTTGAAATTCTTTGCTAGTAGGAGTATCATTTTTGTGATTATGATACTAAATACAGTGGAATTTTCAGGTGGATTAGGATCTTATTTGTTGGGAATGGACAAGAAAACTTATGAGTTAGCGGGTGTTGGTACTATGGGAAATACATCAAACAGTTACAAAAAACTTGAGATTGGTTGGATGATTGGCTATCTTCTAGTAGTTTGTTTTATTGGCCTTTTCGTATTGGTTCCTCTTCGAAAGGTACTTTAAATTCTTAAGAGTTTTTTTTTTCAAATTTGAATTTATAGAAATTTGAGGCCATTGTTCTAAATGGTGTTCTTATACATAGGTGTTGATAGTGGATTATAAGTTGACATTTCCAACTGGAATGGCTACTGCAGTTCTTATTAATGGTTTTCATGGGAAGAGTGATAAGCTAGCTAGGTAAAACTACTTAAAATCTTCCTTCTTAGTAATTTTTAATTCTTAATAATGCCATAATAAAGTTCTTGATTCCTTTGCAGAAAGCAAGTGAAGAGTTTCCTCAAGTTTTTTAGCTATAGTTTTTCATGGGCTTTCTTTCAGTGGTTTTATACTGGCAAAGAGGATTGTGGATTTCAACAGTTTCCTACTTTTGGATTGAAAGCCTGGAAACAAACGTAGGTCTTCTTTTCTGTTTTTGTTTTTTTGATTTAATATCCTCTTTTTTTTTCTCAACTTTCTGAGGCGAGGGTCTGTTGGAAACAGCTTGTCTACCTTCACTAGGTAGGGTAAGGCATGCGTACACATTACCCTCCCCAGATCCCACTTGTGGGAATATACTGGGATTATTGTTGTTGTTGTTTTTTGATTTAATCATATGATCATGGACTAACATATATTATCTGCTGTTTTTTTTTTTTTTTTTTGTTTTTTTTTT